TTATAGATGCTTGTGTTTCAGGTGTGTGTTATGGAGAGCCCCATAGCATCGTTTCGGTGGGATGCCTCATATGGGGGGGAGTTCTGGTACTATGTTTCAAATTTACCATAAATATAAAGCTTGCACTTTAGTGTTTAGAAATGGGAAGTGACTGGCCACGAATTTAGTTACGTTAAATAGATGCAGTGTTGACGGAAGATATAGTCAATGTACAGTGAAGCATTTATATTTACTTTTTAATATACTGGTGAAACTGTAGGGCATTAACATTTCTAAATAGTTTGTTGCTCTCCAAAACTACAAAATGATACTAAAGAATGCCTTGCATTTATCAACTTAGCAAAACCTTCGGCATTTCAAAAATATCTTTTGTTCTTTTATCCCATTCAACTTGGCATTCAAAAGGTACCTATTTCCACCTTAGGACATTTTCTAGATGGTATTGCATTTGAACTTGGTGACTCAACACTTATAAAACAGACAGCTTGCCTTGAAATAAATGAAGAAATACATACACACCATAGAAGTTTAGCTGTTCCACATCTTAGTGCACTAAAATCTCTTGGTTTTCTTTTTCTTTTTTTCCCTGTTGTTCACCTATTGAGTTGAGCATAGCTGGAGAAGAATGAAAATATATCAACTAGTTGTACCAATTCATAATCAATAAAAAGCTAAACACTTAAGCAGAAAATATATCACAGATTTGCTCCCTAGCAAAGCAGCTATTTCTGCCTTGCCACCATCATCAGAATCCACATTCTGACAGAAATCATTTGCTTGAAGCAGCCGTGATATATAAACCGTATGTGGTCTTGTGGTTCAGATTTAGGAATATCAGCCACAGAGGGGCTAAAGGCATTGTGCATTAGTATGTATTGAGACTTCATTCCAGGTGGCCAGCAGCTGGACTTTTTAAAAATAAAACTTCCAAAATGAATGTGAAGGGCTTGTTTCTAGGCAATAAGTGTTACATTTAATTGAATCACCCTCCGAAATGTTATAAATTAGGTGGAAAAGGGAGTTTGCATATTTAATATATTTGTTTTATATTTCCACTAGTCAACAGAATAATGAAATTCCTTAACTACTTCTCTTTAACTTGCACGAAGAAAGCACGGTATGTTGCTAAATCTCTTTTCACCAGCACCGCGGAGAAACAACTTTAATCCTTGTTAGAAAATTGCCGAGTCTGGGACTGACAAAGAGCTCATGCTTGTTCCATTGTTAGTGCTCCCCGGCCCCAAGAGCAGAGCCCTTTACAGCTGCGTGGATCCCTCCGGCTCAGCTGCACTATTTAGGAGAGGAGGTTTGTCAATTTCTATTGACAATGGAGAGAGTTTTTCAGGGCCTGTAGCAGTGCTGACACAGTTGGGGATCAATGCCAGCCATTCAGACTGCACCCTCTTTCATTGCTTTGGTTTGTTAATTCAAGACTAAAGGTCCACTGAGGGGGTTCAGGGTGTTTAAGAAAGCTGATGAACTGTTTAAGAAAGCTGATGAACTGCAAGCATTTATAGCCCTGGTGTGGCAATTTCCATAGTCAGTGGCAACTCCTGGCACTGAGGGAGCTGTGTCCTTGTTGACCCTCTTGTTATTAAAAATGCACAAGTGCTGCGCTTCTCAATATTTCAACAATCTTTCATTGTCAATACCACCTTCTGAGCCCTTCAGCTTGTTGCTTGCTCTAAAGATCTTCTTAGATTGGGTTTGAAAACTTCACCTTAAACACTAGATTAGACTGATGTTCTGTTTTCCGTGCTCCTGTTGATTTGTTGAACCTTCCCAGGGCTGGAAAGCAAGTAGCAGCTTGATGGGGAGACGGGCTGCTAATATGATTTACCAGTCTACAGTCATGCACAATAAGTGTGAATAAATACAGGGGTCTCACAGAGTCAACCCTAGCCTTTCCTTCTCTTTTATTTTTGCTTTAAAAGAAATATCTCAAGAAAATGAAGTGAGTAATGCATGCCCTTACAGGAGTTGAATGAACCACAAAAAGAAGGGAAAAAAAGACATTTTTTTTGTTAAAGTGGTAGGCTGCTGTCATGGATTGATGTAGGAAAAACATGTAGAATATACACTTACTGCTTTATTCCCAAGTAGACCAAAGTAAAGAATGAAGCAGTAATGCTATACCCATGACTTCAGTGCAGACCACAGCGCCCCTTCCTTGTCGCCCCCTGAAGGGAAACGTGAATCGTCTGCCGAATTATTTTATAAAATTAACTTTTCCGAAACGAAAAGACATTTTCTAACATTTACACTTTACTGGACATTCACCCTTTCTGAATGCTTTTTCCCTTGGTAACATTGGAGGGTTGGTTTTGTCTGGGGTGGGGGGAGATGCCGCAAAGCTACCTTTGACTTTTTTGTCAAGGTATAAAATGGGACCTACCGTATTCCAGCACCCCAGAGAGGAGCATGTCAGTTCCAGCACCAGAAATAGGAAAGTGCTGGAGAGTTCTGTTTGGTGGTTTTATTTGTTTGCTTATTTATTTGCTTGGAGTGTGTGTGTGTGCGCGCGCACGTGTGTGTGTATGTCTATTTCATTATATACAAGAAAGAAGCAGTCCTAGTGGGTTTTTTATTGTTAGCTTGTTCTTAGTAGCAACATAAACCCTGAGCGAAAGTACTGCTTTCTCTTTGTTATTTGCTTGTTTTAGCTGAAAATCTTCAAAATGGTGTGACCTGGAGACCAAAAAAATAGGCATTTGTATCTGATAGAATTATTTTTCTTACAGAATTTTTCTTATAATTTGGTTGCCTTTAAAATTTTACTTAACAGTGGTTCTCTTTTTTTCTCTCTTTATAGTTAACTTCAGATCATTTGATTCTCAACTTAGCTTTCTCTACGTTAATAATTTTGGCATTGTGTTAAAGAAGTTATATTAATAATAAATTTCTGTGTTACATTAGATGCCCTTTTGATTATCGCTTAATCATAAGTATCGTTGATGTGTAATGGGAAAATGAGTTAAATTAATTTTAAATTGTGTAAGGATTTTTAAGAACATGAAGATGCATAGGGAGTAATTTTAAGAAAGCATTTTCATTTCCTTCAAATTCATAAAACTTACAATAAATACAGTAACTTTATAGTCTGACAGATTAACTAGTATGTTATGGTAGACCATATATCATATTTTGTTTCCCCCAACAAAAAAAAATACATTATCTCTTGCAGAAGGACTATAATTTAAGAGTTATAACCATTGTGACTACATTTTAGCTTTCAAATTATCTGGAGAGTGGTGTGGAAGTGAGGGTCTTAATATAGTATACCCATATTCAGTATCCCCAACACTTGGGAGTGTTTGTGTGTATTAAAATAGAATTCGAAAGGTTGAGGCTATAAATAATTTGAAATAAGGAAATACAGGATTTAAGTACCATTAGAAAGTAATATCTCAGCTGAAGTAGTGAATTTATTAGCAATTTTTTAAAAGAATTTAGGAGTGTATCTTATTTTGTAAAACTTATTTCCGATACTTTTACAATGTCCTGAAAATTAAGAAAGTAGTCATTAGGAATGAGCAAAATCAGGTACATGAATAATATTTTTTTAAATCCTAGTCTATCTCACATTTTAAAAACCTGAAACTTTCATTCATCTATGTGATGTAATATTTAGTAAATCAGTTACTCATTTTAATTACCTTATCTCATTTTATGCATGTATGTTCAGTGTATTAACAAATTAATAGAAATAAGTCTAATGAAATGTGAAACTAATTCATGTTTAGTTCATGCTTAAAATGCCATTTCTTATACCAAACTTTGTCAGAACACGGTTAATAAATACAAGTCCAGATATTTTCAGACTTACTTGTAACATGTAAGGTTTCTCTTAGAAATTGAATTTACTATTTTAATACGGAAGAAAAATATTTTTATGAGTTTTCTCTGTGTTTGAATACCTAAGACACATGTACCACACAGACATGATGTATTGTGTCACTGTGTTTGTGTTTACAAACAAGACACAACATCCCTTCTCTCCTGAAAACTCTCGTCATTTCCAAAGTGCTGAATGGGCTTTGAGATTTCTTATGATTATCTGAATAAGTAGCATTATTATTTTTCCAGTGCTACCTAAGCCTGGCTCTAGCATGTAGTGCTGAAGTCCTTAAAATATCACCACTAATGGGAGATTGCCTTTAAAAAAAAAAAAAAAAAAAAAAGGCAGGAACAAATTTCTTCTACTAAACTCGTAGGCATTATACAGGAGCAGGAAGTTAACATTGGAGAAGAATTTCGGTTTTCCTCTTAGGAGAGTGGTAATAAACAGAGAGAAAAATATGAACCCTCCAAAAACACTTGCAAAATGAAACCAATTCTTCCTTTTCATAATTTGGTCAACTGACATCTTCTTTTTGAGTCTTATAGACACAACAATTCCATCCTGAATAATGTTCCTCCCTCAGGTCTCACATCTTTAGGTGGTTTTAAAACATCTTGGCAAATACTTAACAATGATAGTGGATAAAGTTATGATTGAGGTTCATGTCTCACCATCACTTGTGTAAAATGTTATTTCTAGGTATTGACTGCATGTGTCAAGGCATAAATCTACTTGTTGATTTTTACATAACATACAGGCTAATAAGAAATTTCCCGTCCTAAGTAATTTACCTGCTTTTTCCTGCTGTTTGGAAGTCCATTCAGTCCCATAGCATGTATTTAGTGCCCATTGTTACCTCCCAATTACAAAGCAGGCCTCTAGGCCTGCAAGTGCAAAAACACGGTTTCCCATGAATATGTTACAGCTGAAAGACTAATGTTAATTCATGTAGAGAACAGCCTAGGTCAACTTAGCAGATTTTCTAGCAAAACATACAATTCTGTTAACAGGAAATTATAGCATTATTGACTTCAAGTGCTGATCTGTGGTCATTTCAGAGTGTTTCATTACCCCCTCATTACCGAATCTGTTACATGAATACTGCAGAGGCTGTTTTCTTTTCTGTTCTCCTCCCCTCTGCCCCCATCCTTCTTTCCAGCAATGGTACAGCAGTTCCATGAAAGTCATTTGTGTCTGGTTGGCTGATAGATTAGACCTTCAGCTTCATATTTACCAACTGAAGACGCTCATCAAGATTGTGAAGGTAAACAAAATGTGTTGAGATGTGAATTGCCCACCAAGCTATAAAGAATAATGGCTAGATATTGACATATAAGAAAATTGTATGTGATGCACCTGAGTAGATGTAAGTACTTTAAAAACATCGCTCTCAGCAATGCTATGCCACTGTTTACTTCCATTTTCAGTTAGATTATCAAGCAAAATTAAATTTTTCTGCAATAAATAAAAGATTTTATCAAGTAGTCACATTTTAAATGTGACTAATGTATACAAAGCCTCTGGCACATTTATCTGATTGTAGTAGGTAGGTCCACAGTAACTTGGTCTTTATTCTCTTAAGTATAAAAATGTTTTCTCCTCCTAATACATTTCCTTCATGCTTATTAGAATTAATATCATTACGAAGGCTTTTTTTTTTTTTTGAGAGACAGGCACACATGCATGTGCTCACGTGGGGAGGGGCAGAGAGAGAGCGAGAGAGAATCCTAAGCAGGCTCCATGCTGTAAGCACAGAGGCAGCAGCAAGGTTCAATCTCACCAACCATGAGATCACAATCTAAACTGAAATCAAGAGTCAGTACTTAACCAACTGAGCCACATAGGTTCTCCATGAGGGCTTTTGAATTGTATTTGTCCACAGCATAAGGACAGTGTCCATTATTTTGTTATATCCTGACACAAAAGTAACATTGTCACTGTCTAACTTCCTTTGGAACCATGCCCCTCCCACATGTAAGAGATAATCAGTTTGAGTGTTGGGGACCATCCCAAACTACCAACAAGTGTCCCATCACTTAAGGCCATTTTGTCTTTTGCACTTCAAGAGAAAAGGTAATAACATACGTTTTATATTTAGTGAGTATTTAAAGTAATATATTTATTTAGCACAATTTTTCGCACTTTGTAATTCTAGTGGAAACACAAAATTTGCCCCAAGTATGACTTTTTCCTACAGTTGAGACAAATCCTACCTTATGATTAAAAACAAGCTATTGAGAATCAGCTGTTCTTTTAAAAAGATGACCTTACTTCCATTTTAGTGCCATTTGTCAAATGGGATTTACATATACCTCTATGTGTGTATATAGGTACAAATATGTATATGTTTATATTTATGTGTGCGTATGTTTATATGTGACACACACACTCAGTGGTTCTCAACGTGTCATTCCTGATTTATCATTATCAGCGTCACCTGGGAACTCATCAGGCATACACATTATTGAGCCCCACCCCAGACCTACTGAGTCAGAAACTCTGATTCTGGGGCCTGGCATTCTGTATATTAACAAGCCCTCTGGATGCTTCTGATGTTAAAGTTTGAGAGGAACTATTGCCTTCCATCATTAAGTTTTATCCACATTAAAATATTTTCCATCATTTTCTAGGTTCCTATTGTCTAATTAGAATACAAATTCTTTTGTAATAGACACACGGGTTATCATAAATTAGAAAGACTCATAAATAGGAAAGTTCTGTTCTAAAGTGAGAAATTGGCAAATCTACCGGAATATAGAACCAGGCCTATAATGTCACAGTAATAGCAATCATGATTAGTCACAAAGAACAAGTAAAATTATAGCCGCCCACTAATTTTGAATACCTCTGAACATATTACCTTTTAATGGACAAAATGCTTTTGGTTCAGAACGCTTCTCACCAGGTGTTAACTTGTTTTACAAAGAAACCGAAAGCATAGTATAATACATTCATATTTGCCTTCGATTCTGCAATGTTTCTTCCTTGTTTCTATTAATGTAACTCGGAGAGCTTTCAAATGAAGTTTGTTTTTCCTGAAAGAGAATCAGAATCTGTGTGTACCTTCTAAATATATGTGTATGTTAAGGTTGCAGTCTGTACTCTAATACTGGGATTAAATGCTACCTTACGATCAGCCATATATTCAAGGTAATGTCTATTGCATTCAAGATGTCAGAAATTATGTACTTTTTGGCTGGATTGTTCAGCTCTCTATTTTGTTTTTAGAATACAAATATTGTTTATTAGCCCATCATTTGTTTCTTTCAAAGCTCTTCCTCTTCTCATAGTCACACATGTCACTACAATTAAGGATCAAACACCAGTGAATACTTTAGCAGAATAAAGCGATAATGTCACGAATTATGCGGTGGCATTTCCATTGTGCTCTACACCAATCAGTTTATCTTAAACATATTCTTCATTATGGCTACCAATAGTCAAGACGGATAAATATGGAAATACAGTTCATGAATATGTTTGACTTTCCATGCTTTGTTTTTCACAAGCAAGTCCCCAGACTCAGCCAATCCTTTCTCTGGCTAATACATTTAATCAAATTGTAGAGCTTTATTTAATAATTAAAAATTATTATTTTCACAAAGAAAATCATGATGAATTAATAAGTTAATGTTTTGATTGTTTCCTACTTTGAATATAAATAGATGTTAGCCAATTTCATACAAAGATTCGTAATTCTTTAGAACCTATATTGTTATATTTATAATGTTAACTTTTCAGTGAATTTAAGAAGCTATTCAATAACACATATATATGGGGTGCCTAGGTGGCTCAGTCGGTTAAGTGTCCAACTTTTCCTTTTCGTTCAGGTCATGATCTTACGGTCATGGGATCGAGCCCCGTGTCAGGCTCCACAGCATGGAGCCTGCTTAAGATTGTCTCTCCCTCGCCGTCTGCCCTCCCCTGTCCGCTTGCACACATGCCTGCATGCTCTCTCTCTAAAATAAAAAATTAGGTGTAAATAGCACACGTATACAATTGTGAAGGCCCCTGAGTAGGCTTTCCTTCCATCCACATCCCCCGGTGTTAGCCTGCATGTTGCCACAGAGTAGTGCATTCCACCAAGGAGCCAAGCCGCTAGGTTGTTGTTGTTGGTTGTTTTTTTTTTTTTTTTTTTTTTTTTTTTTTGCTCCACAGGCATTGTCATTCTTCTCTACCCACAAAACCCAGATACCGTCAAGAGTATGTTTTAGCCAACTTTGGCCCGCAGAGACACTCAGATCCTAACCAGTTTGTTCATGTTGCCCACTGAGGAAAAAAAGCAAACTCCACTAACAGATTCGCAAAGAGTTTAGGGCCACAAAGTCATTTGCAAAAGTTTTAACATCAGAATGATTTATTGAAGGAGGGGGGAAAAACAGAACCCTCAAACAATCCAAGTGGCTGATGGATTCGGGTTCTCCCTTGTGGCTCTATGACATTTAAAAGCAGTTAATGTAGGTCAGCTGCTGCTTTTACTAGGCGAAAAGAAGACAAGTGAGCAGCACCTGGTGGCGGGCCCTCGTCTTAAAGAAGAGCTAAGCAGACCTTCATTGCCAGCCACAGAGGATGTCGGAGAGCCAATAATATTTTATGAATTCGAGGAGAGAGAGAGAGATCGCAAGGATACCAGTCCTGCAGCTCCCCTAACTGCTTATTGCTTGGTGATAAAATAAGGCAGTAGAGTCTGAATCACATATAAATTAGAAAGCCTTCAGGACCACAGACCCACAATACAAATCTGTCCTGGTCAACTTACTGACAATTAAGCTAAGTCGAAGAAAAGTCAATTCTAATGAATTGAGAAAGTAGAACTTATAAACTCAGTATATAATTGTCAATGGAACAATAATATTTCATGTCAGACACATTATCTATACATGAATATTCTGTGTACTTGACATATTTTTAATCAAACTATTCAACGGTTAGTCTTAAATGCAAATCTCTGTGGTAATAATACTATATATATTAATTACCAGATTTTCTGGACAAAACTTGCCCTTGAGAGCCATTTCCATGTGTTTTGATGCAAATGACCATAGGTTTTGGTGTAAGAGAGTACTACCTTAGTAGTAATGAGAGTAACACCTTAGGAAGAGAAGATGAGGATGGTGGGGTGTAAGTATCTTAAAATATTAAAATGTAAGTAAAAATAGTTTTGGTCATTTAAGAAACCACTCTCTGAATCAGATTTTTATTTGCTGTTAAGATACCTCTGATACTGTACAGTATTTCTCACAGTTCAGTTTATTTCTGGACATGTGACAGACTTTTCAAATATGAATTTTATGTATAAGAATGATACAAATGAGAAAAAAATAATTATTCACCCTCCATACTTGCTTTTGGTATAGCTTCTGAAACTTGTAATGATACTGTGGGGCATACATAAGTCAGATTAAAGAGGACAGGACCATAAAATGTGAAAATACTGATAGCCCCACGACCTTGTAATGATTTTATTCCTTCCCGGAAATCTCTTAGTAAGCCAGATGTGTATATGAAGAGGATTAAGATGCTATTCATCAGCAATTCCTACCTCATATGAATAAGTACCTTCGATTAAACTGTGTGAATATTAAAAGTTCCCTTCCATATATTGTGTTGAATGGATCAAGCATGTCTTTGTGTTAATTTCCAGCTACTGGATTTGTAACGTTGGGCCAGAAAGTACATCATTCCTTCTTAGTTGACTTTTTTTAATCTATTAAGTGTAAAGCAGACAACAAAAAAATACCTACTAGGGACACATAACAATGGTGGCATGTTGATACTGACACTTGAGGCCAATCCATTGAAACCTCAAGGCTTAATATTCTAAATCTAACATAGGACAGTAAACAAAATCTTGAAAGATATTTAGCATTAAAAGCCTTAGAAGTGCCTCTACACAATGGGATATCTTCATTTGTGTTTTGTTTCCACACTGAACTAATTCTAGACTTTTCCTACAACTTTAAAAATAAGTAATAAAACACCAGTCCTATTTGGTCGCAGAAAAATCTTATATGAGGAAAATTGCACATAAAGGAATAAGGGAAATAAGGGAAGCTTTATAGGTGACACATCATAAGTGCCACAGAACCCGGAATTCTGTTGTTCCTGTCATTGTTCTCAGGATTCATGATATAAACACTAACATGATGTTTGTTCTATTTTTGACATATGATACATCAGATGATGATTGGCTTTTCACAGAAACTATAAATATATATTGTATTTACTGTCTGTGGAAGCTTTATACCAGAATTTGACACTTCAAATTCCAAGGGAATTTCAAAAGGAAAGGGCAGAATTCATACAGACTTCTATGTGTACACAAATGTGTACCTGGTGTACCTATAAGTTAATTTTATAATTCACAAATGCTGAAAATGCAAACTTCTTTTACTGAGAATAGGATTAGTTATCTCCCTCCACACCTCCCCCCAAAAGCTAATACATTTCATAAAATGTATTTTTCAGTATTAAAGGCATCTCAACTGAAAAACTAAGAATTCCTTCACTTAAAAAATATGCATAAGTGCATATCATTTTACCTTTGTTACAAGCTGTTCAAAGAGTGAAGTCTGTGCAATTAGTAGTATTTCGAGGGAAAGCTCACCTGTCATCTCTCACAACATCTGATCTATTCAGAGTGATTCTAGTTTGAAAAGCAGGATCGAGGTCTCTCATTTCGTTTTCTCCCCAGAAATATACCAACAGGTTGATTGACATGGGCACCTGCAATCTGAATCCATTAGTGAATTGTCCGACATTATTTTTGAAATGCTAACTGAGTGTACCTACAGACATCCATACATACAATTCGTGAGCTATCTAAGCAGATTCTCTCTTCTTCCAGAAAACCTATAGGGACTTCCGACTGCAGGGTGTGTTAGAGGGCACCCTGAACAGTAAGACCTATGATACTCTGCACAGACGTTTAACGGTAGAGGAGGCTACAGCCTCGGTCTCAGAAGGAGGAGGACTTCAGGGCATCACCATGAAAGACAGTGACGAAGAAGAAGGCTGAGAACCCCCCCCGGCCCCCCCCCCCGCCCCCGCTCTGTAGGAGGAAGGAGGACCTTGACATTGTTTATTTTGTACCCTGTCCTTGTAATTACATTGATTGTTTGGACCAAATAAAAACGCTTGTATTTCACTCAGCATTGTAAAGAGTGAACCTGGAAGCGGAGTTAGAAGGGAAAATACCAAGTTTCTTGGTGTTGGGGATTTTTTAAGATGAGCCTCTCTTCTGTAGTTTGACCTAAAATGAGCTTTGGTTTTGTGATTGGAACATGACTTTTTGGTTTTTTGGGAGATTTGACTTTTCCGTCTGTAATTCCATCAAAGTAGTGTCCTGTGTGTGAAATGAGCTCTGTATTTCTCATAATATGACATTGTGAGAAGAAGCCACTTTGGATCACTGTGCCAGCTCTATTGTGCCCTTGTTAAAATGGTGTGTATTTAATAGTTTATCATTTATGTATGAGGGGATTTTTTTTTGTAGTTATTTGCCATTGTTGCGCTGTATGTAAAAACTTTAACCTTGGTTCTTAGTATTCTGAATTCATCTGCAGGCTTCAAGGATTGCCAAACCCAAATATAGACTAGATTATCCACCAGCTTGTGTCTTGTTTTATTCTGAACATTTCTTCTTTCAAGTGTAAGAAAAAAAGCCCAAAGTGTAAGGTAGTAAATGTGCTGCCGTCAACATAACCGTATTCTCCGACTTCTAAGTGTAACAGCTTGCAGGCAATAAAAATCTATTTGGTCAAAACCACTCCTGTATTTATTAAACTTGTATAAATTAAATGCAGTAAAAAAATGTTTGCAGTATTATAAACATCCCAACAATTTGGCTCTGTGTTTTTGTTTCTTTTTTCTTTTGTTTACAATCAAATGAGTACAAGATATCAACAGTGTTTTGCACCTAGAAGACACACACATTTGTTGAAAGAATAAGTTACTACGACAGACAGCATATTTCCATAGCGAAGGTCATGTTGACTACATACTCATATGTGTTATTAGTTAACAGTAGCAGTTGGTGTTCACTAATAATAAGTAATACTAGGAATGCTAGTAATTGAACTAGCAATCGATGTATTAGTTAACCATTATTTCTTCTTCCAAAGTATTTCTTTGCTAAAATTCTGAAAGATAAATAATAGTGTTCCGCTTTGTCATTTCTCTCTGAGTTTTACTTTTGCGTTTTTTCCTAAAATGCATATTGTACTACTACATTCATTCGTAAATAATCTTTTTAATTTTTTTATGTTTTATTTATTTCTGAGAGAGAGAGAGAGAGACAGCATGAGCAGGGGAGGGTCAGAGAGAGAGGGAGACACAGAATCTGAAACAGGCTCCAGGCTCTGAGCTGGCTGTCAGCACAGAACCCAATGCCGGGCTGAACCCCCAAACCGTGAGATCATGACCTGAGCCGAAGTCAGACCCTTAACTGACTGAACCACCCAGGCGCCCTTCATTTGTACAGAATCTTTAAATGAGGTAAGTTCATGCAGAATGAGTGGAGGTGTCCCTGAATTTATGTAAACCGTAGTTCTGGAAATTAGGAGGTAAAACTGACTACTTAGACCTCCAAATTCATCCTGCTGTGGTGTTATAAATGGTGTCTCAGTAGCTGGCCTAGCCCACAAAATCCACTTAATTCAGTGATGATATACTACTGGTTTGGCTCACATCTGGGTCCTAGGGGTAAGACACCCTCTGATACAGGAAAAAAGTGCAAGGCCATGTCTTCTCCTTCCCTGGATTAGAGACTCCCTCTACCAACTCAGTACTGTGGAAAGGCAGCATTTCCTGAAATGTTCTCTTTCCCTGTCTTCACCTTCACATCCAGTATCCTCCTCTCTTTGGGCCCCTAGGTGTCCAGTTATGCCCCCCTAAACCCCTCAGTGGTACCCCTCCCGGTGGTTGCTACCACACAGCTCAAAGAGCGGTCTACGTGGAATTCCCTGCCCTTATTTCCCTCTAAATGTCTTTGATTCGGCTCTTCTCTAAGTAATTGGCCCATGTTGTCCTAAAGTATGAATGATGAATGACTGATGCCCCCCGCCCAGCCATATGTATAAATACTCAAGGAAATATCTAGATGATCCGATTCAGAAATGCACTTGGGTCCAGGAGCGTCTTGCTGCTGGTCTAGTTCACCTGCTTACTGGGCCTCTTTGCTGGTCAGCCTCTTGTAGCCTCTCTCCAGATTTGAGCGCTCTCTGCTCCTTCCCTTCTGCACTCCGGAGATTTCTAAAAGCTCCATTCCCCACTCGAACCTTCAGTGGCTTCCACAGGGAGAACAGCAGAGCCAAAGGCGGGTTCTGGGGATGCTCAGAAGTTCCTGATAACTAAGTGGACTAACCTCTGAGCCACAGAGTGGTGTATGAAGAGAAATCTATAAAGTAACTGAAAAAGAATGAAATGTCATTTTTGGGTTTTTGCCCAGAAATTCTCTGCGACATAACTGCAAATTGCTTGAGATGACTTCATAATTGTTGACCGGCGTGTGTAACTGTTAGGGTGAATCCCCAAGCATCTGTCTGTTAAAGGAAGCCAAGTGTTATTATTTCTCTAAAACGTATTATTTCATTTAAAGGGATTTAATTGAAAGACTAACCAGTTTTAACAACAATTTTTAAAGGAAAATCATTTTTTAACTCAAAGAAATAGTCCTATCCTCCTAAATGGTTCTGGGTGAGCTCCAGAAAGTGCATTTGGGGGCCAGTTTCGTGAGTGTTGCAGGAGAAAATAGCTACTGCGGTCCAATATCCAGCTGGAATGGGTCTGTTAAAGAAGACGTCTAAAAGGAAAGTTTCTCTGAACACATGGAGAAAAATAATAATCATGCCTTTTCCCGGAAAGGGAAAGAACCACACAGAGCTTAACGTAAACCTCTCAGCTCCAGCTGTGGGGTCGTTCTTGCATTCACGGATTTTTCCACTTGAATTCCCCTTAGTTCTTGCTCATTGTCCCTCGCTCGGCAGAAAGGATTTCCTGCTACTTTTGCAGTAAACGCCGGTGCAAAGTGTCTCGGGGCACCCCCACCCCCCCCACCCCCTCCCCACGGTCGTAGCCCCGGCTTGGCCTGGCGCCGCCCTCCTTCACCCGCGAAGATTCGGGTCCGTGAGCTCCGGAAAGGTGCGCCTGGTGGGAAAGACGTGCTGCGGCCCTCGCTGCACGCGGAGCGCTCCCTGCCGCGACCTCCCGCAGCCCGAGAGGGGCGCCCCCCGCCCCGCCCCGCGATAACGCGCCGGGGACCCGGGGTCGCCACCCGGCGTCGGGGCCAAGCGCGCGCGCGGTCGGCGGGAGCCCCGCGAGCCGAGCTCGGAGCCTGCCTTCCCGGCCCCTCCTGCCTGGCGTTTGGCAGAAAGAGCTGAGCGCGGAGATTCTAGCATGAGCCCGGTCGCTTTTCTTTCTTACTCCCCGAACAGAAAATGGAAATTTCCCGGTCCGGGTCCCTAAAGGGAGGTGACAGATCGATGTTCCCGGGAGGTGTTTGCGCGCCGCTGGTGGCGGGGTAAACGCTGGCCCGGAGAGCCGGCAGATGGGCCCCCGCGCGCTCCGCGCCGCTGCCTTCGCGGCGCGCCCCGGCCGCCCCGGCCGCCCGCCACCCACCCCACCCCCGGGGGCTTTGTGCGGAGTTTGGAGGCCTGGTCTGTGGGAGTTCGGGAAGACGGTGGTCGTCCTATCTTTACACGGGGGTCCCCTAACTCCCCCCCCCCCCAGTGCTATGCAGGGAGTCGCGGTGGAGAGCGGGCCTCCTTTCCCCGTCAAGCTCTGCTCTCTGGACGGGCTGGAACCTTCTGGGAAAGCGGACTTCCGAGTTGGCCCCAGCACTTTGCCGCAGGGAGAGTCGAGCCCAGGGGCCTGGGCAGCTGGGCGGAGACGAGGAGGAGCTGAGACCCCGCAGTGCCCGAAGAGCGAGGCTGGCAGCTGCCCCCCCTTCCACTTCCAAGGGTGAGACTTTCCCCCCCGCGTTGACTGAAAGATGGGGTGCAGAGATGCCTTCCTCGGCTCTTCTCTGCGACGCTGAAGACAGATACTTGGAGGAGCAGAAGCGGATACAGACTGAGCGCAAAGCTCTGAGCCTGAGTTCCAGAAGTCACGGGCGACAGTCAATCGCGCCCTTTGTCCGTGTGCAAGATGTGACTGTTTTAAGGGAATAGGCGGTGGAGTGTGAGAGTGTAGTCCCGACAAGAGAGGAAGTGAGAGAAGAAGAATTCGATGTGTTTCCCAGATGAAGAAGGCCCCTGATTTAAAGAAATAACCAGAAACAGGTGGCACAGCTTGGGGGTCGTAGTAAGCAGGGCCTTGGAGCCAGAGAAGCCTGAGTTTGAGTCGCTGAGTGCTAACAGCTGCACCTCTTCCCTGCGTCTGAGCTCTGTGTCCTTGGGCAAGTCACTTAACTTCTCTGTAAAAGGAGCATTTAATAAGTCAAGTAGTTATGAGAATTAGAGACATGTAATAAGTTGTGGTCAATACTAACTAGTTCTTTGTGAGGAATGGATTCAAAAATCGTGGCAAGCCTGCCTCTGCCAACGTGCGCAACACTCTCCAGCCATTGTCCCCAGGATGGTGTCAGGGCCCTTCTAGATCCCAGCCAGCTCGGCGGCGGATCTTCAGCCCCGCCCCCGCGTGTCAGTGGGCCAGCTGGTTCCGGGATTATATATAGGGCCAGCCTAGTGGGAGCGGAGGATGTGACGCCGAGGGCAGACCTACTCTGGTCTCCAAAAAGGGCCTTCGTCGCCGCGAGCAGCCCCCCCGGAGCGGTGGGAGGAAGGGGAGGCAGCAGGAGACGTGGTTTGGGGGGATGGAGTTGGTCATAGGCTCTGAAACCGGACAGGTGTGATCCTGAGGGGCTAGACCACAGGTGAGGAATCTCCGCCCTAGGCCTGTGCCCAGTAGGTTCTAAGTTCAAGAGAATTTAAGGGACACATTGGTGTTCGTTAATGTTTTCCAAAGTTTAGGGAGGTCTAGAATGGCGTCCGGCGTCTCAGACCTGAGATGCGCACACAGTAAGAGCTTGGAAAATTCGAAGCGGAACCGAGAGAGACGCACAGGAGGCCGCAGACCGCCCCAGCGCGCCCCGAGGTGGCCTCGCCCGGCGGCAGACACTTAGGGCAACAGTCAGCACCGAGTCCGGGCCCAGAGTGCTGCACTGCCAGCGCTTGTAGGTGGTCCGGAAAACGCCAGTGACTGGGGGACCCAGCGTGGGCCGAGGGCGAGCCCCAGGGGCCCATCCCAGCGTGTCTGTGGCGGGGGAGACACGTACCCCGGAGATGCTGGGGCCAGGCACTCGGTGGCCTTGGGGACAAAGAAACTCACCACTTAGGAAAGGGGAAGAAACCTCTCCTTGCTTTGGGCTGGAGCTAGAGCCACTTTTATAGCCAGAGCGATATTCCCACGAGGCAGCCGGCCTGCGGCTTCGGGGTTCCAGACCCAGGGAGCAGAACGTTACCCACACAGACCACTCTGGAATCCCGCAGGTGCCTGTCATCTCCCCGTACTTCCTAACTCTGCCTCAGAAGTGACTGTATTTATGCTTATGTGTGGATGATTTTTTTAATTTAGCAAATAGAGGCGCCTGGCTGGCTCAGTCCATTAAAGGCGGGGAGGGGGTTGATTTCAACTCAGATCATGAATGCAAGGTATGTGGGATACAGCCCTCGAAGGGTGCTCCAAGCTGAGAGCACTGAGCCTACTTGGGATTCTCTCTCTCTCTCTCTCTCTCTCTCTCTCTCTCTCTCTCTCAGAATAAATAAATAAACTCTAAAACTTTTAAATAAAATTTAGTAAATAAACATATTCTAGAATATCATCTAAAATCTTTTCATCCCGAG